GCAGACCGTTCAACAGCACCGATCTCTCCGCTGAACAAAGCGGGGCTGTGAAAATGCTGCCCATTACAGGCGCAAGACACAAGCGCCCCCGGAGCTGTCCAGCAACGACAGTCAAATGGCGCCGACATTCCTCCCAATCAAAAACAGTGCTGGCATACCCATGCTGCCGAGAAGGCAAAACCACCAAGCACCGAGTCTCCTCCTTGATGAATGTCGTGGCCAAAAAATGCTGAAAACAGTCCACATCAGGTCCACACGACGTAACAACAAACACAAAGTGACAAAACAAACAGAAAAACAACAAAAAAGCAAGGCTCATGAGAGCACTTGCAGATGGCTGCCTACTCGGGCGCCATCTTGGACTTCAACATAACAGTTATAACAGTGAAGTAAATGCAGATGACATAGTGCCAAAATCGCCAATACTGACCTATTCCCCCCCAACATTGCTTATTGATCCCACAAAATAATAAATCGATGTTTGAGTTTGCACACACCAATGTCAAGTTGTTCAAATTCAATGAATAGTTTGAAATGTAACCAATGTAAGTAGTGAACTGCCAGTTGTTACAAAAACAGGGACAAAAAGCACCCAATTCGTGCCACACATTTGTGGGAACTTCTGCAACAAATTTGCAAAGAATTTCCTGAAGAATGTTACATTTTCCGATGTATAAACAAATGCCTGAGCAGTCTTTTCACAATGGCCTTAATAATACTCCATTGCAATTATTAACAATGTAACACTGATCATTTTTGTCTCTCCTTGTCGACAGTTTGATGTGTCCAAGCTCTCACCAGAGGAGAAGTGGAGGTTTGTATCCTATCATCACTCAGTCCCCCGAATCCAAATTAAAGAATCGTAATAAATTGTTTTGGTGTACTGTATTCAAATGTTGCACAGACAGTAGGAGGCTCAGAATGAATGACCGTTTCATGTCATTTTAAAAGCAAACATTTTTCTTAGTAGCTATTACTTAACGAGCTTACGTTTGTGCTGCGTTTTGTGTGTTTGTCCAACAGGGTGGAGCACGCCAAGATGCATGCCAAACACAAAGGCCACGAGGCCATGCACGCAGAGATGGTGCTGATCCTCATTGTCACACTTGTCGTCGCCCAGCTCGTCCTCGTGCAGTGGAAACAGAGACACCCAAAGTCATACAACGTAAGAAAATTGCATTCTCTCATCAGCCGCGGCGAAAAATTCACGATGTTGTTTTCCAAGGCTGGGCATCATTTATTGATCTGTTGCGCAGAATTTTAACTGTCGTTTTGAATTTGAGCATTGTAACTCATGCATGGACAAGTAATGTGCTGTTGTTAGCAAATGTTGACATTGACTAAGCAGCGAGTTGCCGGGGGCGCAAATAAACCAGTCTGTTGATGTCAAATTGTTAAATAAGCACAAAATTGAGGACCGCTGCCGAAGGTGGAAATATCGTTCGGAGCGTTGTGTGAATATACGTTTGTCTGAGCAGCGTCACGGTGGAAATTCGGGCCAGCCTTGAAAGAAAATGAAATTCAGGGTGTCTGCGAAAGGTGTTCAATGAATAAGTTGATGGAGCGGCTTTAGGACTTTATTAAACTGCTTTATATTTCTGGCGTTGTAGTGGTTTTAATATGAATATTTCTTGTAATTGTGACTTCACCGCTGCATTAGGAGTAGATATGCGATTGTCTGTGACGCGACTTTTTTTGTGTCATTTCAAGTTAAAAAGCTTATCTGTTGGTAATTTTTTTTCTCCCTGGTTTACGTGTGTCCACATGCTGCTGTCTTGTAGCTGGTGACTCTGTTCCAGATGTGGGTAGTTCCTCTCTACTTTACTACCAAACTTCACTGGTGGAGGTTCCTGACCACGTGGTTTATCTTCTCTGTCATCACAGCATATATTAGCTACCGTGCCACGCGCAAGCCTCTGGCCTGCACGACACCAAGGTAAAATGCAACTTAGAAATGGCGTGTCTGTTCAAAAATGCAACGTCAGTCCCGACTGGATGTCGTTTTCTTGCCTGCTGCAGATTGGTGTACAAGTGGTTCCTCCTCCTCTACAAGATCAGTTATGCCACCGGGATAGTCGGCTACACTGTTGTCATGTTTACACTCTTTGGTATCAATCTTATCTTCAGGTAGGTCAAAGTGTTTTTTTCTATTTTTTTATACAATCTGTAGACATAACATTGTTAAAAAAAAATGCTATTTTTGGCACAGTCCAATGTTTTGCATCTGACTTGCCAGTAGATAGTGCTGTTTGCCACCATTGGGACTGTTCTAAACATAAATACTGTCCCACCATACCTGAATGTCCGAGTAGTGGAAAGTTTTTTTTTGTTTGTTTGTTTTTGAATTCCATTTGGAAATATTTTGTGCTCAAAGGTCACCTATGATTTTAAAATGGACCGATGGGCAAGGTCATTTATAGATCAAAATGATTTTAAAAAAATCATAAATGAGTGCTTCTTGTTTGTTTCCATTAAGACCATATATTGGCACGTTGAACAGGGGCAAATCAAACCATCACAGATTATCTTACCGGTAATCTGTTTGTATGTAACAGCAGAAAATGGCATATCTGTCCACGTGATGAGAGTTGTCGCTAATCACATGGTGGTCCCTCTTTGTAGGATAAAGCCAGAAGATGCCATGGACTTCGGCGTGTCCCTGCTATTTTACGGACTGTACTACGGTGTCCTCGGAAGGGACTTTGCCGAAATGTGTGCCGACTTCATGGCGTCAACGGTCGGGGTAAGAAACAGATTTTGCTCATCACGGGTGTGACGACTGCTGCTCGGAAAGTCACGTTCACCGTTTCGTCCCTCCCCTTTGTAGTATTACAGCGCGTCCGGAATGCCAACCAAGCATTTGTCTGATGATATCTGCGCCGTATGTGGTCAAGCCATCCTTGTTGATGTCAGTGAGGAGGGCATCATTGAGAACACATTCAGGCTATCCTGCAACCATGTGTATCCTTCACGCTAATATCTGCATCAGAAAGTGAGAGCTGTTTATTAGTAATGAGAGAAGAGAACTACAGTGTTCCCCCGCTATATCACGGTACATCGTCCGTCTGCTTTGTAGAGTTTCGAAGCAATTTTTTTTCCCCCTCGTTTTTTTTTTTTTTTTTTTTAAGAGCACAGTAAATCCCCCTACATCAAGGGTTCAGGTTTCGCGGTCCCGATATTTTGGCTTGCTTTTTTTCGCCGTTTGCCGGCATTTTGCAGTGTTGTTTTGGGTTACCCGGATCTACTGATTCAGAAGAAGCACAGCCAGACAGCAGCTGCCCATAACCGTGTTTGTCACAAAAAAAAAAAAAACCCCAAAACAAAAACAATGATGTGACCATGTTGATGTGCAGTTGTACTATATATGCACATGTAGGTCAAAATCAAGCTTTATTAAACTAGGTGGGCTCTTTGAGTGCTGAGATCTTTTACAAGAGATGCTTGGCCAAGATGGGGCTAATTTCTTACTGTGGCCTGCACGGTAAGAATCTCAAGAGAAAAGCATCATTGTTGCTTTGTTAGCGTCTATAGTTGGCTTTAGCTGTGCAAGCTGGTCCTGGAAAATGCTTCTGGATAGTACTTGGTAGATGGAGGGACCTACACAAAAGAGAGAAAAGGAATTAATATAGCTGTGGGCCTGAGGCGGACCCTTGAGAAACCCCATTTCAGATATTGAGCCATTCAGATGTGAGCCCTTCAAACTGAGCACACAGTTACTGTTATTGCCAACTATGAGAACAGTAAAACACAAACAATGAGGACACACACGCAAGAGCTCTTGTGACCAAAGCTCACACCCAGAGACTGACAGGCAGATGCGCCAATGTCACACACCATCCCACCAGGCCAAATGCATGTCTAACTGACACTCTATGTAGTATTTTCTCCATATTCTTTTATTTTTGTGCGTTCAAATATGGTTCCCCTGTGTTTTAATAAGTTTAAAGTGTGGAAGGGGTTAAACTCAATATAAATATTCTTTGCTTTCCGTACAGTGCAAATTTTCACCTCTGGAGTGTATCCCCTGTGATAAATGGGGCTTTCCTTGTCAACTAATTTCTGTAAAAGCTTTGTCATTCTGATCTGGAAATGCTCCACGGACCAGTTGACCTTTTGTTATGCAAGTCGTTTCATTTTATTTGAATCAACTCTCTTCCCCTACAATTTACTGCCCGCACCACAAATCACAAATCCGTCTATAGCTGATATGAAAAAAATGTGTTCCTTATTTCTGTCTTTCGAAACTGCGTGTTCCCCGTGAGATGACATTTAATGGATTATGAGTATCAGGAATTGCGCAATGAGCAAAGAGCGCTAGTATTTCACTCACCACAGGGTATTGGCATGGACTGTATGGACTTAGAAGTAGCTCCATTTAACTGGTCAAAACCTTCGATCTCATGCAAGAGCTGAACAGAACGTCTCAGTCTGATGTCATTCAGTCCTACAACACTGTCATTCACAATCTCACTAATCATTACATTTCTGACGGTATCAATGAAATCCTTTTTTCATACAGCTCTTGTATTGGATTTCATGTACAATAGCGACTGTTGTATTTAAGCTTCTGTATATTGCATACAACCGAACGCTCTATATTTGCCCTCTTTGTGTAATGTCATTTGGAATCTTTTTTTTTTTTTCTCCTCACCTCCGTTTATGAGTTAAACCGCAGACTCTTTTTGTTTTGGTTTTCGTCCTGATTAACGATTCCGATCCCTGTAAGGGTTTGATCTCCCTTGACTTCACATCCAGGTTCCATGAGTTCTGCATTCGAGGTTGGTGCATCGTGGGAAAGAAGCAGATGTGCCCGTATTGCAAAGAGAAGGTGGATCTGAAGAGGATGTTCAGTAACCCGTATCCTTTTGTCAAATGTCCCGTACTTGAACACGTTTTTTTAATTCGTGGAAGTTCGTGGCCGTCGTTCTTGTTGGACTCATCATTTGCTTCATTGCGAATACTTTACTCGTGAAATATCGTTCAGAGCATCTCAAGGTTAAAGTGTAAATAGCGTTTCCCCCCTGACATAATCGAGTACACAATCTAACCTTGTGCTTCCTGCAGAGAATTCCGTCCTCTTGTCACTTATAGGAAGCGCTGCTACTTAATTTCAGGTAGCATTTTTAGCTCTGTTGGACACAAAGTTCCTCTTCCTTTTTTGTGGCACGGACAGTACACTCCTGTCAACCACAAGAATTAGAGTATTTTGTGATTATTTAGGGGCACCAACATGTCTTTTCCTCACACAAGTTGTTTTTTCGGTCAGGCATTTCCTGTTATAAAGGATGTACCTGGTTTACTGAGGCAAGACGGCCATCTAAAAGGAAGACTAACCTGAAAAAATGAAGTTATGCACGCACATAGTCTATTTCCAAATGCCCTGTAAAATATAAGAGAGGGAGAATATTGACATTTTTGTTGTTGTTCTTTTCCTTAATGTAAGATTTTGTAGCTGGGAAAGGCCACATGTTATGTACGGACAACTTTTAGATTGGCTTCGCTACTTGGTGGCCTGGCAGCCCGTTATTATTGGCTTTGTGCAAGGCATCAACTACATCCTCGGTCTGGAGTGACCGGCAAGTGTGGGGAAACGGAGAGACGTACCACACGCAGAAGAAACCGCTCCGATTCAAATGACTGGGAGCCTGACAATGAACTGAAACATCCGTTTAAAAAAAGTGTCTGTACTTTTTTTGTATATATTTTTAGGCACACGTTACCAGTACTAATGTTTCAATTGAGTCAGGATCTCAATATGTTGTCAATTCTCAGAATTGTCTTCACACCTTAATTGGTTTTTGTAACTAAAGCTCCAGTAAAGATGTTCAGAATCATTAGCTGGCTTCTTTTTTACTTCTGTCTTATGTTTATGAACACACTTTTGGTTACTGTATCGAATGTACATTTCGGACATCAATTTATAAAAGGACAAAGGTGTTTTTTTTTTAATTTATTTTTAGTTTTTTTGTCCCCCTCCCCGAGGGCTTTCTGGCTGATGCCAAAATGGTCTACTCGTTTGCTGAACTTAAACACAAATGTCTCTTGAGTACCCAAAAGGCATGTAACCGGCTTGTAAACCAAATCAAAGCCACATTTAGTCAGATGAGGCTATAACATCTACTCAGAGTTGGGTACAAAGCATTTAGTTGGATGTAAACTCCGCAAAACCGAAGTAGGAACTACTACATAACATGTGGAGGAAATCCCCCTGGAACTCAACTTTAACACAGTGGTTGTCACTGTAATAAGGAAGTTGATCCTCTGAGTTGTATATAAGGACATCACGCATGTTTCGAATCAGCAGTCAGTGATAAACACCGAAAAGAGTCACCATGACGCTGTCGTCTGTCATCAAAGGTAAACCCTCCTTACTGATGCCAGCACACTTCATTCAGTGGTTTATTGTAAACAAGTCATTTCCCTCCACAGCTTTGGGGTCTTTAAGTCTATTGGTGGCAGATGCCGCTCCAGGTATGAGTTCGTTTTTTGTTTTTTGTTTTTTCTTTTTGGGGGCGTGACGTTCTGTCTAAATCAACTAAGTATTGATTCATTTTTATTTCTGTCCAGCAGTGTCTGAATATTCAGCGCCAGTCATCATTGGACCTGACTGTATGCAAATCAAGGCACAACCAGGTAAGACTCAATCAGCCCATGGGCCTTGATCTTGGGGGGGGGTTCAAAAGGGTGTGTTGAAAAGCCATTAGCACAGTGAATTATGAAACATCTTCAACATTAAAAAAAAAAGAAAAGAACGAATTACAATTTTGAGACGCTTTGACAAATGTTGGTCTTTAGTGTCTCAAACACGTTGATGCATTTTCCTTTTTAGGGCATCCATTGGTTCTCCATTGTCAAGCTCTGACCAACTATGGCCAAGATGTGACGCTCCTCTACTGGCTCATCAATGGCTCATTCCCTGAAGACGTTCCCAGCAATGATAGAATAACTGAGTTAGAGACGTGAGTATTGCGGCGCTTTACAGAAAAAGCGAGTACCTGTTTTATGCTTCACGTGTTATACTCTGTATCTGTGTGTCTGATTTAGATTCACCTTAGAGGATGGTGCGATTCAGCTCGGGAGTTTGCTGCTGAAGAACGTCACCTTAGAGGACCTCAATGCCACTTTCACCTGTGTGGTGATCAATAGTGCTGGAATGGTGCATAAGAATGTAACACTAACAGCAAAAGGTTATGCGTGGGGGAAAAAAATGGAAAGTAACATCAGGCGAAACACCGAGACGACTTAAAGTTAGGCTAGCGCAGTTAGAATATTTAATGAGAATGTAAAATGTCTCATTTTTAGATGGTACGGTATCTACTGTATACATGCCTTTGCATCGTACTGTATTTTGCTATTTACTCCAGCAGGGGGCAGAGTATTACTAGAAAGGGGTGGAGCCCAGCTTGTTTTATTTTAGAAACCAGAGTTGCCTACTCTATGATAGTAATTGATTCAGACTTCTGTCTCATTTATACCTCGTAAAGATGAGAGCCTTTTCATCGATTTTTTTTTATTTGTTGTTGGTGTTGTTGTCCCTTGTCATGGAACTGAAGCTGAGAGTGGGTTGGGCGATGGTCTATGACTCTGCTGTGTAATGCCTGCAATGAAATGTGCAATCCAATCCAGTAACGATTAAATTCTTTTTGACGTGAAGTACAATCACAGCTCGAGTCTTAGTTTGGCCCTTTTGATCGATTTACGAGTAAGGTTTGAGCCAAGAGTCTCACGAGCGTGTGAAAAGCTTGGCAGTAGATGAGACTTGGTTCCACTGTCAGCTCTCTGGGATGTTCTAAATGCCTGTCATCTTTTTTCGATGCACCCTGACCTCCAGCAGACACTGCATCCCAAGCGAAGCCCTGGTCACGACTGCTCTTTCACGCTTGTCAATCAAGCTATGCCACTGAACATGTATTATTTTTATTTTTTTTAGGTTTTCCAGGTTTGGGTTCTGAATTGTAACCGTTCAATATTGAGGGTGAATCACAATGATTAACGCAATAATAAGAGTATTCACTTCAAACAACAAACACAGTAAAAAATGTATGTGTCTTAGTTAAGGCTGTGTGGCTGTGCAATGAATACATAGTGAGTCCCAGCCTGGAGCTGTTTCCAGTAGAGCAGTAGGAAAAGCAGCATCCTTGTCTCATTGGTGAGCGTCCTTCCACTACACTGCCCTTTGTGCGATGGAAGCTGAGCAGCCACAAAGAAGGCAGGAAGAAACATTGCGCTTATGGGGTGGGGTGGGGGGGCTTTTTTGTGCCCGCTGGCATGGGAGAGGCGCACAAGCCGGAGCTGAAATGGCATGTGGATAGTTTGGGAGAAAGGGTAATGGGTTGAGATATATAGATATATATATTTTTTAAATACACGCTGAATGTCAAATGTAAAAATATCCAACCAACCTCTACTGACCAGTTTGGAGGTGATCAGGGGCTTACACCACAAATGCTGAAGAGACCTTTACGTCATTTTTTTTCCCCTCAAGCATGGTCACCTCTGATGATGCAATTTTTTTATTTTTATCCTGAGATGATATTGTCCTACTAATTAAATACATTTAACCTCTGCAGTAATTATGATTTATGACGGAACAAGGTTATGTGGAGGAAAAACACGACATGGTAGTTGCATTTATGACGCTACGCTAGGGAGAACACAGTGATGGAAATATTTAAAAATATTCTTCCTCCGTCCGCACTTGGTTATGTTTTCTGTGGCCGTGTTTTGTTTGTCAGCTTACTTACTCAAAAACTAAACAGCCGATTTCCGACTTTGTTGTTGCACCAGGGAGGCAAGTAACACTACAAGGCTGCTGTTCATCCCTCTACACAGTGGTGGAAATATTTAAAAATATTCTTCCTTCGTCCGCACTTGGTCATGTTTTCTGTGGCTGTGTTTTGTTTGTTAGCATGCTTACTTACTCAAAAACTAAACAGCCGATTTTCGACTTTGTTGCATTTTAAAGACTTGTTATTGCACCAGGGATGCAAGTAACACTACAAGGCTGCTGTTCATCCCTCTCTACTGCCTCATTCTTGTCAGTGCCGCTCTTCTAATTGCAGAATTTGCTGTTCACCACAGTATGTTCAGAGAAAAATAATGTTTCCGAATTTGTGGATAAAACAGCTCCCAGATGTGCAATGCAAGTGAATAACTGGACACATGGTGCCGTTTACTGCCCAAAATAAAAACCGGGCATCATAAGCAAATACTCCGTTACATTATTAACATTAGCAAAGCCCGGTTGAATGAAATAAGCTAGCAAATATGGGGCCACATTGGGGTGAGATTCCCCAATCTGACCTACCATTGGGGGTCTCCAGTTGTGTCGTCGATTTGGGATGCACTTTAGGACGACTGGTTTACACTGTGTGTGTAAAAAAGAAAAACAGGAATAAAGCCCAAAAATGTTTTACTTGCGGAGGTAGAAAATGTAAACACTACACTGTGTGTATGTGGCAAACGCCCCATTGCCAGTGTGGAAAAAAGAAAAACGGGAATAAAGCCCAAAAATGTTTTACTTGCGCAGGTAGAAAATGTATACACTACACTGTGTGTATGTGGCAAACGCCCCATTGCCAGTGTGTTGAAAATATGCACTGAGCCATCAAGTATGCACTTCCTATTAGAAGCGAATGTTAGCAAATGTGTAAAAAAGAAAAACAGGAATAAAGCCCAAAAATGTTTTACTTGCGGAGGTAGAAAATGTAAACACTACACTGTGTGTATGTGGCAAACGCCCCATTGCCAGTGTGTTGAAAATATGCACTGAGCCATCAAGTATGCACTTCCTATTAGAAGCGAATGTTAGCAAATGTTGGAGCAAATGAGGATAGTTCAAGCTTGTTTTTTTTTTTCTCCCCCTCTTCCTCCCTTGTGGGTTCTTTCTGATTTCCGGGTGGAGGGTTCCCGGTCCCGTTTGTCCTGGCGCGTTTGGCTGCCGCTGCTCAACCCGTATTGTATTATGTTTTATTGTTTTTGTTATTGTAAAGTGTCCTTGGGTGTCTTGAAAGGCGCTTATAAATAAAATGTATTATTATTATCTGTCCAACCATACTAATTGCAGCTCTGCTTACCCTTTGGCTTGGACATAAGAAGGGTGTTGCAACAGTGGAGCACGTGGGTGTTTCAGACGTTGGAGTGTGGTGGCCAGAGTCGCTTGAAAGTGACTCTTTTTCCTGATTGGCTGGGCGAAATCGCCGTTTTATTGGCTTCAAGTAAGATACCGTAAACTCCCAGTCACTATTATTTAATTGTTTTCTTGCTTATTAAGAGCTAAGAGGTGTGACCCGCAAAACTCAAGTTCGTATCTTGCATTGTTCGAACGCCTCATAATTGATTTCCATTGTACAAAGTGTTCTCGTCATCTCTGAAATTCCTCCAGGAAGCCCCTCCTAGTACTGGCCCCTTCCCACGAGCTCGGTTGGCATGAATCAGCCTGCGTATCCACGCACTTTGCGCGCTGTGGGCTGTGCCTCCTCCATGTCTGTGCGGCGGCGTTAGGGAGGATGCTCGCCGGAGGCTTCCTTCGCTCTCAAGAGTCCGACGCAAAGTAGCCACTGGCTGCTTCTCCTCCTTCCTCGTCTCCCCCGATGCTGATGCTGCTGCTGGAAGAAGCGAGGTCGTGCAGCATCCCCACACCGTCCGCGGAGCCTGACGCGCATGACAAGTGAACGAGCTCTTTGACGGCAGCCAGCAAGTAGAGGAATGTGCCCAAGTGTGGTTTTTAAACCACACCGAGGAGCTACCTCTTGTTTTGTTTTTTTCTTAACAATTACTTACACCCCGAAGAGCAAAGCACAGCTCACGTGATTGATCGCACGTTACGTTTTGTACCTCTTTTTTTGAAAAATTTTGTGTATCACTGCTAGCGGCGTTGGTGGTTTGCAGCCTGGCGGAGGTTGTTTTTCTTTGCTTTGGTCACGCGTGGACAAGACAAACTTGTGCATGGCTCTGGTCATGGAGCCCGTCAGCAAGTGGAGCTCCAGTCAAGTGGTGGACTGGATGAAAGGTAAGATTCGATCACACACCAAATGCATGGACCAAGATTGAGAAAACGTGCACTGCGTGCCTCGTGTACAAAAGACACTAAACACCTGATGAGCCTCAGCTTTAAATTACAGCATTTAATCATCGGATCGATTTTTTCTTCCCCCCCACAGTGGGAAGCAATCGCCCTTTTAACCAGCTCTGCTCTCAGCCGAACAAATCCCATTCAAATGTCTCTTAACGATGTCAACAAACCTCTATTGTGCTCTTTTGTTACCGGCGTTTCACAGGAGGAGACCCGGAGGGGGAAATCGATTCAGTTTTGCCCATCGAGAATTAACCTTTTAATTGAATTCGGTCAAAAAATCCGAACGCAGTCAACACATTGACGAAATCCCCATTAAGGCTTTTATATTCAATGTTGTGCGGCACACTCGTCCAGATGCCCAGTAAGAAGTCATCCTGCCAACAGGCCATTTGATTAGGTACACCTGCACAGGTCTGGTGATTGGTTTTATAGAGACGATAATTCCATTCATGTGTTCCTGATTATAATACAGCTCGTGTAGCGGTTAATAAAAGTGCATCAAAACACAAAAGTGTCCCTAATATTTTGACCAGGGAGCTGACAGTATATTCGAAGGCGGTCGTGCACCACTACCATGAAGCCATAACATTAAATATCTGACATTGTTGGAGGCTTTTAAAACAGTCGTAAAGCCTCAAATTGCATCCCAATACTCATCTCTTAGGCTGTTTTTTTAGAAATACTATTTTAAAGCGTCACAGCATGGTGATGAGTGGTTCCCGGAGATCTGGGTTCGAATCTCTGTTTGGAATTTCCATGTTCTCTTCCCCTGTGTTTGATTTATAGCTATAAAATCACAAATGGTTGGATGGACCTCTTGAGATTTCTCTGCGACGACAGATTGAGAAGAAACGTAGTACTAAAAGTTGATGAAGCTTTCTGGTGCTTGTTTTGCAAATCACTACTTATGTTAAATATAGTTTCTTGCAGGGAATGGAATACGCATGAATGGTTGATAGCTAGAAGGGTCCTTTCCTCCTCTTTCTATGTCAGCGGACGTTACCAGGAATGCTAAATGTGTTCGCTATGTGAGCTGTGTTGTTTTGCTGTGCCACACACTCACGTGTTTGATCACACAGCCTCGGGGGATGCTTCAAATGATTTATACCTTTTTTAGCACAAACAGACACACACACCCTCGGAACTATAAAGATGATGGCTTTTTTTTTTTTTTAACAGGCTCAGATGTATTTCAGGTAAAAGGGTCACATCATAATAATGGTACAAACAGATGTTTTTGCTTGTCTTGTGGCTCGGTTTAAAAATTCTCACACTTGTCGTCAGATGATGTGATACATGAGATGATGCAGAGACTGGAGCAGTTTAAACCGAGATGATGTGTAAAGAAATGAAGGGGCGAAGAGAATGTTTAGTTTCCCACATGTGACAAGTGGAGCAGTGACGGTTCCAGTGCCCGGGGCCCAGTAATGGTGATGTAAAGTGAGGGGGAGAGGTGGGGGGTGTTGGTGGTGGTGGTGGTGGTGGTAAGGGGCCTTCAGTCTTGTCCCAGCTTCTGAGGCCTGGCTACATTTTGCAGTTACTATTCAGCGGCTTCATTATTTGCATAAGGGTCCGTGATGTC